TTGATCCAATTGTGAAATAAATCATCATGAACATGTATCTAACATGTATAATCTATGTACCAAGTTTGAATGAAAACTGACAAAGCATGTCCAAAATACAACATTTTCAAAAAACAAGATGGCTGCCAGTCGGCCATTTTGAATCGAATCGCTAAACCACTGCATGTGTATATGTCCCACATAAAGTACTAGGCACATGCAAAGAATGAACGGAATCGGTCCAAGGGACTCTGAGATATGACTCCGGACGGACGCACGGACGCACGGACGCACTGACACACGGACGCACGGACGGACGGAGACCGAATTATAAGTCCCCGTTTTCGGACTTCGTCCGAACGGGGACTAACAAAAGATGGACGTGTGTTGTCTGGCACAAGTGACGCGGAGCGGCTCTGTTTTTTCAATAGATGTTGTCCACCAAACAGGAATGTAAATAGAAATGTACAGACAATAAACACGTTTATATTCAAAATCTAAAAAGCCGGTTATTTTTTTCATTATTTTGAATGGACGCACTGTGTCACGGATTCATCGCCTGTCTTGTGTACTTGTTGCTCTTTACTGTATTTGATCTTTCATTTTCCAGAATAAACTAAACTAGAGCAAGTAAAAGTGTGAATCGTCAATAGGTAAATGAGCAGATGTTTCATAATTTATATAGCACTGTAGCTTGTCACTATAGCAACATATAACACTTTCCAACGCAGTGCGACAGAGGGCGTGGTGTAATATTGAACCCTTTAATGTAAACTATAACAAATACACAAAGTATACAAGTATAAAAGCAATATGGAATTCACAGACAATAATGAAATGTTAATGACAACGAAATCCTGGAAAAGTTAGTGGATTATTTATGTTAGAAGTTTGAGGTAATTTTTATGTAATACTTTTTTTTAATTCGACATGTTGCCAACATTATTGTTTCCCGGCCGTTATCGAAGGGAAAGTCCCTTACAAGTTTAGCGATGATCACAGTAAGCGTGATCTCAATTGCACAGGAGGCGTGGCTGTCTACAGCATATGTAAATGATTAGTATGATATGCAAAGTGTGGGAGGGATTCGCATTTATCGATGTGTACACAAGTACCCGAGGTGAAGACTATTTATGTACGCCACAAAACACTTTTTAGCGTTTTCTTAAATTGAAAACTCGTCAGCATGTTTGTAGTTATGTATATTATTGTATGAATCATGTTATCATAGTCTGTTAACTTAAAGAAACACCTAATAAATACCTCCGATGTACACAGTCAACCACAGCGAGACTCATAAAACGTGCAATGGCGTTGTTCCAGCGCCAAAATAAATCGATGTTGTCGAATTGTTTTTTCCAGAACACCACGTTGTGGTTGTGGATATAAAACAAAACGAAAGGGTTTTAAACTAATAAACTGAAGAACGGTCATACATTTTTAAACTTTTAAAAATTCAGTCCAATTTGCTCCATTGCATTTCGTCTAGAGTGCTCTCTCGGACTATGTGGTGTCGTCAGACGCAACATTGAATGTAAAATAACCTTCTATGCTTCAATCGCAAGCTGATTTGCGTTTCCTTTCTTTTCTTAACGGTTTCAACCAATGGGCTGCCCCATTGGCTATAGCATATACAAACGTATATGCTATAGCGATTACGTTAGACTAATTCAGTGAATCATTCAATGTAGACTACAACAAATACACAAAGTATACAGAAGTATAAAGAGAGTATGACAAACACTGAATCAAGAAATTCAATAATGACATTATGAGAATATAATGTGAAAATGGCGTCAGAGGATTATTTGATATCAAAAATAAATGTTTGGATGATTGATGCAGGCGTTTTACATTTTATCGTTGTGAATGTAATTGCGCCCCCAGTGTCTGGGTTACAATTTTGTTTTGTTTTTTTTACAAATATTGGACATTATTTGAATATTCATAAGATAGCTAAGACTGGATACCCCCTGAATAAATATTTGATGATATTAATAAACAGACACGAAACAGTGTAATGAATATCGCCATGCTTTAATAGTATAGATGCACATTATCTTTATAATAATTCATGTACTAGGTCATAGACCAATAAATGGGCGAATCGACTGGACTTATGACGTCATCTTAATAATTGTACTGAAGACACAGTAGATAATCTTTTAACAGGTCTTTGTATTTGACATCACGTGATAACACGTCCATATTGTTTCAATCCAAATCTACACACGTTATAGCTTGCAAACTGAAATAATATCTAATCAAATGGTAGACGCCAATATGATACTGTCGCTGTGGCACGTGATTCATGAATGCATCCCGGTGAGGGTAGTGGGTAGACATAACCACCATGTAGCTATACAGTACAAGTCAGTCCATCTTATTGGTTAGGTGCTCTTACCATGATGGCTATTTGCTTCACTGCGGGACTTTTTCAGGGCAGCTGAAAATGACGATATTAATAGTTTAGACAAGAAGAACTATTTGTACTAAGAAATACAGCAAAAGCATAACATAACGTAATACGACGTGAAACAACACAACACAATATAATTATACTATTTGGTAACACAGGCATTTTCATCCATTTTTTGGCCCAAAGTATGACAATTAATCAGATCGGCAATCGCTATACTAGAGAAAAAATACGACAATCGACGTAGAAAATGTATTAGTTTTGTATTCGAAGAGTGATCCATATATTACCTTTCAAAATTGTACAGTCTATGTATAGCAATATAAAGTCTCGTGTACGAAGCCCAAAAGGGGTAACGGAAACGTTTAAATGTCTATGTGGGGTTCAACAAGGCTCTATTTTGTCACCTCTTTTGTTTG